GGTGACACGGTGCGAGGTGAATACAGTGAACAGGGTGCGAAACAGAACACGTGCGCCAGACGAACCGCAGGGACAATTTCGCTTCACAACAACGCAGGAATTTCGAAAGTCCCAGGGGTTGGGGCTCATGACATGACACGCAGTGCCAGTGCCGGCGTGGTCGCGTGGGTCGAGGCGTTAAAACTCAGCACAGAGATCCTAGGTTCAACTCCTAGCTTCAGCTCAATTTTTCTTCCTGCTGTTTAGTGATTTTCTATGACTTCAGAGTCATGGAGCTGGACGTGGGCGTTAAACTTACACTCTGGTGCCGAGGGTTCAAATCCCCACCCAACAATTTTTTCCAGCACTTTTAGTGCAGGCCGATGTGCCTCACAAGAACGTGACGCCACAACAAGCCATCTCCTCCCTTTTTTGAGTGTGCCATTGAACGAGCCACGTAATGAGGGAATAAAAATAAGTCCCTCGCCACGCGAATGGCGGATGGCGGATGGCCGGGTTGCGCCGCCAGTGTGGCCGCCACTGCCGCCACCGCGCCGACCTACGACAAGGCGATGACGGCACCGCACTGCACTGCACTGCACCGCACCGCCCGCGCCGTGAGAAAGCAAAGGCGCTAATGACCTCCTTGTCTTGCATCAACAATCGCCAATTTTTTGTCCTTCTCATTTCGGTTCCTCGCCTATTTTCATTTTTTCTCTCACCATTGCGTAGAACCAGGACCTGCCCAGTGGTCCACTCCCGGCCGATACGCTACAAGAAGAAGAAAGCCGCGCCCCTCCGTCCGAGCCCTCGACACTGTAAGGCTGCCCCCGCCCGCAAGACTTTCGCCAACGTCACAGCGACTCTAACCAACCGCGCGCCGCCCATGCACTAGGTCAACATTCATTAACTTGGGATTGAGCCGCCGCCCCGCCCTCCTGCATGTAAATTCATGGGCACATGGCCCCGGCCTGCTGCAAGCCTGCTGCTGCCGCTCGACAGCGATGATGACGAACACGGCCGGGACGCACAAACAAGGCCCGGCAGCGGCCAATGGGGGCAACGAGTCCGGGACACTGCATCCGCGGAGGTCCTACTCACACCGCACTGCCCGCCCCGCCCGGCCAAACGAACCCCCCATTACCACTGTTGTGTCTTTTAGAGAGAAAGCACGGCACCGTTTTCCCGCCTAGCACGCCTAGCACGCCTAGCGCGCCTAGCGCTGCTGGCGAAAAACGAAAATAAAATTTGCATGGCTACAGTCTCACACTCCACTAGGCGTGTGTGTGTGTGTGTGTGTGAGCGCCGTGTGGCGTTGTCGAAAGCCCCGCCCTCGCACCTCCAGCTTTATCTTCACAGTCTACATAGCAGCAAGCAGGCTGGAGCTGAGCTGGCTGCGCGCCACCACACCGCGCCGCCCCGCCCCGCGCCGCCCCGCCCCGCGCGGCCTGCATGCCTTCACCAATTTATGTGCTGCAACGCTCCTCTCTTTGGTGGGGAAATGACAGAGGCTCGGCGGTTTGGCGTGAGGCCTGCTTGGCCGCGCGCCTCGCTTCAATCTCGCGTCTTCTCGCCTAGAGGCGTGCGATGCGCGGTGCGATGTCCGTGGTCCGTCCCGACGACGCGCCGACTGGAACACGACAAGCCGCGCCTCGGTTCCTTGGCCGGGAAGGCCGGGAAGGGCGTCGCCTCGGTAGCGGTGTAGCGGCCATCCAATCGGCTCCTCGTGACCGGGCGGGCCTCCAACGCGGCGCTCCAGGCCAAGCAGAGCCGTGCTGGAACTCCAGGCAGGCGGCCCAGGCCCAAGCCAGCCCAAGCCGGCAAGGACAGGCGGCAGCAGGCGGCACCATGCCAAGCGGCGAAGCGGCGAAGCGGCCCCGGCGAAAATTGGCACTCCAGTCTGAGGCACATATTCTTGCAGACAGACGCATAAGGACTTGAGGGACGCGGCGGCCGGAGGGAAACCTGGAGCAGGCTGGCTGCCTCGGCATCCAGACGCCGGCGAGGCTTCCAGCGAGGCTTCCAGCGAGGCACGCTCGACGGTGGCCGCTAAATGGCATCACTGCTTCGGCTGCCGCGCCGCCACGGCCGTGCTCCTCACGTGGGACACATCACGGAGCGCGGCGGCGCGGCCCATGGCGCGGCCTGGGACCGATTCAATCTCAGATATGAAAAATGGCGGCGCGCAATGCGGCCATCGCGTCGCGTCGCACCGCGCTCCACGGTGGCATGAATTTCTCATCCAGAAAGTGGCGACACTTCCACCGCGAGTGGCTCGTGTCGCGATCGAAGGTGGTTTCGGAGACTGGCGCTCGTCTCCATCCTCAGCCTGTTTACCGGTTACGTCCCCCGTGTCGCCTAGCCTATCAGTTAAGGGCTCCAGGAATGTCCCTACGTGGCTGGAGGACACCACCGGTGACACTGGTAATGTAGTGTGGTATGGGCGAGGCCTTGCCGCCGGCTCCAGAGGCGCGGGGCGCTAGGATTGCGTAAACGGTGCTCATCAAACCGAGGCGATCAAAGCCACTAACCTGGCCGGCCCGGCCCAGGGAAGGCGAGGCAGCGTGCCCGCGGGAACATCCATCGCGGTCGCCGGCGGCGGGTGTGGAGCCGGCGAGTCGGCGGCGTGGGTGCTTTCGGCCTTTTGGCCCGGTACGCCCGGTACGCCCGGTGCGCCCGGTACGGGCAGCCCATTCAACCGCAGCGCCACCACACACCACTTTCCCCTGCCACTCTGACTCGGCAGCCGGGCTGCCGTAGGCTGCCGCTGGAATAAGAAGCCAGCGCGCCGCCCCGCGCCGCCCCGCCTGCACCACCACGCCACGCCCCGCGGTCATTCCCCAGTCGTACCAGCAAAACGCTTGCGGGCCTGGCGGCCTGGCGGCCTGGCGAACGGCGCATCGTTTCGCGGAAGGGAGGGCGGCTGGGGAGGTTTGAGGCGGCCCGGCCTCCAGCGCGCCAGCGCCAATGCGCCCCTCCAGTCGTTTGTAAACATGCAGCCCCCCGCGGGGCCCGTCGCCGAGCCGCAGTAGCGCCGAAGCAGCGCCAGCCACCCCCAGGCCCAGCAAGTCCATCGCCACTGGCATGCAACTGCGTGCAAATAGGGGATCAGCGGGCCGAGGCTGGAGTCGAGTCGGCCTGGAGGGGTCGGCCAAGGAGTCGGCCATGTCGACGACGCCCGCCCTCCGCAACAACAGTGTACACGAGGGCGGGCGGCGGACTCGGCAGTGGCGCTCGACATGACGGCGGCCAAACTCGGCCGCCCCGCGCCCCGCCCCGCCCCGCCACGTGATATACTGCCCTTCGCAGCCACACGCCCCGTCCGGCCGACGCGCCCTCGCGGCCCCGCTGCTGGAGAAGAAAACCCCAGCCCGGAGAAGCTGTCGTGCTTCCAGATCAACTTCCAGGCAGCCTCTTGGAACGGACCATTTTTCTGTGCTTCTCTGCTGTATTTCGAGCTGGCCATCTCGCAGTTCAGCCGATGCGCATGTAATTCTTGATCGCTGCATTTAGCAGTGTCGAGTCGCGACGCAGACCCCGTCGAAGGCGGTTCGTAACGAGGACGGCGTCATTGCTGTGCGGTGCGGCGCGGCGCGGCGCGCATCGCGGTGGCGGCCTTGCGGGCCTCGCGCCTTCCTGCCATAACTCCGAGCGCCGCGACGACGCCGACGACGCCGACGCCCTCGTTGTACCGGAAAAGACGGGGCGAGAAATGACGCGGACGCGACGTGACGCGACGTGACGCGACGTGACGCGACGTGACGCGACGTGGCGAGGCGCCGCCTGTCGATGGCACTGAGCACTCCACTCCGGCACGACGACGGCACACGGCACCGCCACGTCGATACCAAAATAAGCGCGGCAGGAAGTCAAGTAGAGCGGCGCAGGAAATGTCACTGCATTGCGCGCGCCACGGCATCCAGTGGTAGTTTTGTTTTATCTTTTCGACGCGGGTTCGATCCCCGATAGGAGCTGACGGCTGTTCCACCCTATTTTCTTTTCTTCCATTCCATACTTTCGGCGTGGCTTTATGGAGCCGCAGCCGCACCCTCTCACTCGACCTGCAGGCTGCAGGCAATAATAGTAATTGTGACAGGTTTTACTATCGATTTCCATTCCTCGCAAACGACGTCGCGCAAAAATTAGTTTGCAAAACACTGCCGAGCTGATCATTTTCCATTAGCGCTGCTTGCACCACGCGCGCCACTGCGCTCGCAGGCAATGCAAGCCGTGTTTGGGGTGGTCATTATGTCGTAAAAAAAGGAGGCAAAGCTCGTAAAATCTGCTCCCTTTTTGCTTCGCCTCGATATATGTCGAGCTGCCGCTGTGCTCAACTGCTAGTTCAATCTCTCCTCATTACAAAGCTCATTTGCCATTCATGCGTTTTTTTCGTACACTCACACACTCGGAATAAGAACCATTTTGCTGGTGCGAGCTAATTGATATACTGTACGCGGTATGCAGATGGTATGTAGATGCCGGTACCGGCTGTTAGTCCGGCTGCGACGTGCCATTCCAGGGCCGAGTGTGGTCCAGGAGCGCTCTGTGGGGGAGGCAGGCAGGCCTAGGCAGGCCGACCGACTATCGTCCAATCGCCGTGACCTATCGCCGCGTGCGTTTGTTTTGCGTCCACGTCGCTCCTGAAGGTCTGAGGCCGTTCTTCACTCCACGCACTGCCAGATGCAAGATGAGCCCGCCGCCAAATCGATAGGCCTGGTCCTGGACACCCACCGCTGCGGTACGGTACCGGCGGTCCGCGGCGGGGAGCCGCCACCAACAACTTCGGCTTTGACTTTCGAGTCAGTCACTCTGCCCAGGCACCCCGCCCAGGGCGTTATGCCTACTGGAGTACGGGAGGGGCGGGACGACATAGTGCAGTATGACAAATTTTGAAAAAAAAAATGGAATTTTGCCATTAAAGTAATGATTCCACACATGTGGTCGATAGATGACTTTCAATGTTCAGCCCCCAACATTTTCATCATAATTAAAAGGTCACTTCGCCGCAGCAAGCAACTTACCTGCACTCGTCACGGTATCCAGAGCTAAGGCGGTATCCAAAAAAAATCACAACCAAACAGTCACTGGCTTGATGAGAAACGAAAACGAGACCGACACCGAGCGGCGCGCCAGGCCGTGCGGGGCTGTGCGGGGCTTGCGGCACTGTCCGGGACTGTCCGTCCCTCGCGGGGGAAGTGCCACGGTTTCGCGCTTCGACTCGCGGGTCGCGGTGCCTCGGAGCGGCGCGAGCGGCGTGAGCGTGCGGCGAGGTGTGGAGTCTGCTGTGCCGGCCGCGCGACTGAGCCCCTCCCTCCGCCTCCGCCCTGCCTGCCTGGCTGCCTGGCCTGCCTGGGCCCGCCGCGCCGGGAGGGGCCGGGAGGGGGAGGCCGGCCGGCCGGAGAGAGCGTCGCGCAGCGTCGCGGCGCCTTACCTCCTCGGGGAGGGCCTCGAGGGCCTCGGCCAGGGGCACGGCGACGCGCCGCCCGCGACACGCCCAAGTAGGCCCTGCCGCACTCTGCCGCACCCTGCCGCACCATGCACAGGTTGGCCAGGAGCGCGGCGGCCGGGCCCGGCCGGGCCCCAGTGCGTCCTATGCGTTCTCCAAGTACCGTGGTGACTGGCCAGGTAGTGGTCACAGAGCCTTTGGGCGTCGTTTCCTACCCTGAATGTCTCTGGTCCAAAACTCGTTATGGTCTCTATTTTGTATCAGCGGTTCGTAGTATTAAATTACCTAACCTAACCTAAACAGTTGACGGAAATAATTGTAAACTCTTCGTGTCAATGGACTGCAAATCCCTGGAGGAAATCGGTAAGTTTTTCTCGGTGTGGCATTTCGGGACCTTAGGAATCTCGCGCACCAGGGCTAAAACCCTTCGCGTGGCGGAGACTGGGCGGGGCCGATCGGCGTGCCGAGTCAGTGCGGTGGTCAAGGCTCCGAGGCACTAAGCTGGCCCCGCCACGCCCCGCCACGCCCCGCCACGCCCCGCCACGCCCCGCCACGCCCCGCCACGCCCCGCCATCGACCGTACAAGGCCCCACGCCGCACCGATTTACAAAGCGTTCACACACAGCCTCGGTGTCCGCGGTGCCTCTCTGTGTGTTCAGTGCTGACTGTTCAGTGTTCGGCGAGCGCGGCGGTAAAAATGCTGTCTGTCTGTGCGGCAGTGCGGCCATTTGGCGGCTGTCGGTCGAGCGCGCGTTGGTACTCGGCGCTCCGGCAACATGTCGGTACCCTTGACTGGAAGGCCCAGCGCCCCGCCTGCAGCCGAAGATTATCCCACTATTAATTACCGCGAGGATGACGACAGCAGGCTGCCTCTGGCTGCCTCCGAAGACCGCTTTCGGCGTTCCGTCTCTCTCGCTCTCGGGGCGTTCGGAGGGCGTGCGAGAGAGACGGAGCGACGAAGCGTTGTTCGAAACGAGCCCAGTGCATGAGTCTCTAATTAAGTCCCCATCATCCGATATCGCTCGCGCCGCGGACGACGCGCTGCCTCAGGCTGCCTCGAGCACTGCGGCGATTGCGCAGGGCACCGCGAGCACCGCGACGACGGCGGCACGGACAATAACGTGATGGCCGTGTTATGCTGGTGCGTTTGATAGTTTGACGCGATGCGGCTCGACTCGATATCGGCGCACCTGTAGCCGCGGCCACCGCAGCCATACAGCGCGGCCGGCGCGGTGGAACGACGGACAAGGCAGCCTGCCGCGCCGCCCACGCCAGCCACGCCGCGCCACGCCGCGGTGCGTTTGCAGTACAGCCCCTTTGATTTATGTACCATTCTCCGAGCAAACAGTCCTCGCATCGCATCCCCGCGCCCCTCAGAGAGCCGGCGGGGCCGGCGGGGCCAGAGGGGCCCAAGGACTCGAGTTTGCCGAAGCCAAAGGGTTTCCGGGGGGCGTGCATGGCGGCGGGGCGGGGCGGGGCGGGGCGGGGCCACCGCGCTGTGCTTTACTGCACTTTGCAAGCCAGCGGCGTGCTGGCGGCGTGCTCCGGGCGCTTCCTCGCCACAATGCACCGCGGGATCCTTATAGCTTCCCCGCCCCTGCCCCCGCGCCGTCTCGTTCCGGCGGCGCTACACTAGGCTACACTACGCCGCGCCGCTCTTGCGCCACGCCGAGCACTCCCTGTTTGTTTGTCGATGCGCCTTTCTGAGGCCCCCGACGTGAGCCGCGAGCCCCGCGCACACCACCCCCTGCATCGCCCTCCCCGCGGCGAGGCGTCCAAGAACCCCAGGACGTCGTCCAGCCTCAGCCCCGCCAGCCCCGCCAGGGCCACCCTCCGGAAACGGGCCGCCAGAGCGGTTTGCGCCGCCAGGGCCCCAGTGTCCGCGCCGAGGGGAGTGGGTGCATCTCCCTCGAAGGGGCTGCCGGGCCAGACGGCCTCGCCGAGGAGGAAAGTAAAGAAAATGCAGCGCAGATAAGAATGTAATAGGCCCGCCTCGGGGGGACGGGACACTGCACGCCCCACGCGGCCGCCGCGCCCCGCCGCGCCCCGCCCCGCCGCGCCTCTCTTGGCCGGGTCCCCAGGGTCGCATAGGGCCGCCAGGGGGCCGCGCCTTGCCGCGCACCACGCAGGACAAGGAAACGGGCCGAGCCGGGCAGCGCGGAGAAGGCGAGAAGGAGGACACGGCCGGGTGGGGCGGGCGCCCGCGTTCGTGTGCGTGATGTGTGAGTGTGAGTGAGTCTGTGTGTGCGCGCGCGAGTGAAAAGGTCAGTAGTGTGTCACAGTGGCCTGACGCCTGAGGCGGGCGAGACAGGCGTCGGGGCAAAAGCCGCACTGTACGCCGTTAGAAAACAACCCACCGATCCTTAGTCTTCTATTGTGACTTATTTCAAGTTTCGGCAGCTGCTCTATTTTTCAGGCGTAGCGAAATTGTTTTCCAGGAGCACCACCCACCAGCCCCGCCAGCCCCCGCCGGGCCGGGCTGCACCAAGGGCTGCACCAAGGGCTGCACCAAGGGCTGCACGCCACACGGCGCCAATCTGCCCGCAGCCCCGCGATCTGGAACCTGGATCCGGCGGCCCGTCCGATCCGATCCGGGGCTCCCTCCTGCAGCCCGGCGTGGAGGCACTAGGAGGCACCGCCCGGGGGACAGAGACGCGCACGCACACCGCCTGAGTGGCGGGGCGGCGGAGCGGTGCGAGTCGCGTTTCAAAGGCGGGGCGGCGAGGCAGGCAGAGTAAGCAGCCCTCGTAGGGCGGCGCCTCGCCTCGCATGCACACGGCACGCGTTTGCACACGTCGTCATAACGAAGCGGCGCAGCAGCTGGATGTTGCTGTCCCTCTCGCACCTCCCGGCACGCCCCGCGAGTGCGAGGGAGAAGGCCGAAGGGAGGCCGAGGAAGCGCTCCGCGCTCCGCCCGGGGCGCGACGTCTGCCGAGGCGGCGCACTGATGCCGCGGCCCGGAGCCCCGGAGCCCCGGAACGACTTTATCGATGACGCGGGGGTCGAGGAAGCGGCAAGGCAGAGCGCCAAAGCGGCAGCACGGCAGCACGGCAGCCCTCCCGCGCAGCGCCGCGGCGATACATCACCTTCAAGGTGGCGAACACCGACGGGGCGGGGACTCGGGGGGGGGACGCCGACGTCACTGCTTGTTTGCCGCTAAGTTTCTTCCCCGGCACGCACCGCCACGCCGCCACGCACCTGATACCGTATCACCGCGACTTACGCCAAGCCTCGTGGGCCACGACGTGGGGCGACGCGACAGCACGGCCCGCCAACCTCGCGCCTCGCGCCGCCTCCCAGCCGCCCCATTCAGAGCAGTGGTTCCGTCGCTCTGTCTCCCTCGCACTCATGCGGCGTGCCGTAGGCGTGCGAGGGAGACAGAACCGTCCCTCGAAACGAGGCGCGTGTCCCGCCGCACCCACGGCCACCCACGGCACGATGTGACGCCTTGGCACGCGGTAAAATTCGCCGCAAGTTGCGGCCCCGTCCCGATTTTTGCCGGGCAACTCGCAAGGGCGTTCTAGGCGCCGGCCGACCGGGCCGAGGCCGGGCCCCCGCACATCATCGACGCCCACCCCGCCGCCCCGCGCCGCCCCGCGCCGCCCGCAGGGGTGGCGTGACCACTGCGGGGCTTCTCCCCGCCACCCCGCCCCGCCCCGCCCCGCCTTTTTTTGCCTGGCTTGTTTTCTTTCCGTTCTCCGGGCGAACGCCACACGCCGCGCAATGAGTTGATGATGGCCGCCGAGACGAGACGCCCTTTGCCGAGAGGCGCTCCGAGTCCGCGAGGGCGAGGCGGGCGAGGCGGGCGAGGCGGGCGAGGCCTCCGTGGGGGATGAAAGAGTCGGCGAGGCAGCTGCATCCCGACCGTTTTTGCAGTGGGGCCGAAGGGCGGAGCGATCCGCCGCGGAGCCGAAAGCCGAAGCCCAAAGCGCCGCGCTGCTGGAAAAGCTGGAAAAGCAGCTGAAGAAAGCCAGCCAGCGCAGAGGCGCAATATTTCTCATACACCCCGCGCCGCCGACCAGGGATCGAGCACTGCTAAGTTTCCCCAACACCGTATTCTTTACATATTTCTCAAAACAATCACAGAGCAAGGATGTGATTAGCGTCGCAACACACAACATCCCTGACCGCCAGTGCTGTTCATGCAGCTCGCTTTTAGGCCCCTCCTGGCCGCGCTTGCCGCCCCAACAAAAAACAGCCAACAACAACTGCATCAGGGCACCGCAGGCAAAAAAAAATCAAAACTGTGCGACAAAAAGCAAAAGTTGCAGCACTGCGGACTGGGTGTCTGCGCCGCTGTCGCCACTGTCGCGTGGTTACATAAAAACACTTGTTAAGTAGTCTGCGCTGGGCTGCGCTGGGCTGCGCTGGGCTGCGCTGCCGGTGAAAGGGGGAGGGGAGGGTGCGGCCCAGGGCGGCCCAGGCGGCCGGCCCTCCAGGGGTGCCAACATCTGCTTCATTCACACCGGCCGGCCCTCGTGCCGCATTATGGTGCTCAAAATACAAATGAGGAATAATGACAAAAAAAATCATACTTTCCCTCCCTACAAAAAAAATGATTAGAAGTGTTTACTGCGACGCGAGGGTGCGGAATTGAATTTAATCGCGAGCGGACGAGCTGCTTTGGGGCGCTAATGAAGGAGGCTTAACTCACTAAAGGCTGCTCGTCAGAGGAGCGGGGCCGGCAGGCCGTTTCCCCATCAGCGAAATCCGAAAAGATGTCGCAGGCCTCGCAAGGCAGACTGCTAAACACGTTTTAAATTCGCCGCCGCGTCCGAGGGTGAGGGCGCGTCGCTTGCCGCGCTGGATACGCTGGAGGACCTCGCCCCCG